CCTGAGACCAGAAGAACTAGATGGTGCCCGGCTACCACCAATGACTGCCCTCACAGGGAACACAACAGAGAGTCCCTGATGGAGGAGAAGAAAGATGGGGTGCAGAACTAAAGTTCTAGTAAAAAGACCAGACTTAATGGTCTGACCAAGACTGGAGGAACCCCAGAAAGCATGGCCCTTGGATTCTCTATCAGCCCAGAACTGAAACAATTTCGGAGGCCAACTCTTCAGATATTGATTGGACCAGACTGTGGGACATAGAATGATACTTGTGAAGAGTGTGCTTCTTAGCTCAGGTAGATACATGAGACTAAATGGGTAGCTTCTGTCCAGAGGTGAGATGAGAAGGCAGAGAGGGTTAGGAGCTGGGTGAATGGACATGGGAAATCAGGGGTGGAAAGGAGGAGTGTGCTGTCACAGTGTAGGGAGAGCAATTAGGGTCACGTAACAATGTATGTATAAATTTTTGTATAAGAGCCTAACTTGAAATGTAAACTTTCACTTAAACTACAACAATAAACAAACAAAAAATTCTAGAACAACAAAAAAAAAAACTTAGTGAGCAATTGTCTTAGTTTCCTAGTGCTGCCATAACAAAAATACCGCAAAGGAATGGTCTCACAGTTTTGGAGGCTAGAAGTTTTAATTCAGGACATTGGCAGGACTATGCTCTGTCTGCTCTAGGAGAAGATCATTCCTTGTGTCTTTCAGCTTCTGTCAGCCCTCAGCATTTGTTGGTATTCCCTAGCTTGTAGATGGATCCTCACATAGCATCCATCTACAAGCCAGGATGTGTGTGTGTCTCTCCATTTTTTTTCCCCCTTTTTATAACACACCGTTCAGAAGAGACTGACTTTAGGACCCACCCTACTCCAGTGTGACCTCATTAACATTTTCAAGCAGGGTCATATTCATAGGCGCAGGGGATAGGACTTCAACATATCTTTTGAGAGGTGCACAATTCAAGCCATACCAACAATCTTGTACCATTATTAATTATTTTGGTTTGTATCCACCCAACTAGTGTTTTTATTGACTATGCAAAGGCATTTGACTGTGTGGATTACAACCAACTACAGATAACATTGCGAAGAATGGGAATTCCAGAACACTTAATTGTGCTCATGAGGAACCTGACATAGATCAAGAGCAGTCATTCGAACAGAACAAAGGGACCTGCGTGGTTTAAAGTCAGAAAAGGTGTGCCTCAGGGTTGTATCCTTTCCCCATACTTATTCAATCTGTATGCTGAGCAAATACTCTAAGAAGCTGGACTATATGAAGAAGAACAGGGCATCAGGATTGGAGGAAGACTCATTAACAACCTGAGTTATGCAGATGACACAACCTTGCTTGCTGAAAGTGAAGAGGACTTGAAGCACTTACTGATGAAGATCAAAGACCATAGCCTTCAGAATGGATTACACCTCAACATAAAGAAAACAAAACTCCTGACACCCTGACCAATAAGCAACATCATGATAAACAGAAAAGATGGAAATTGTCAAGGATTTCATTTTACTTAGATCCACAATCAACACCCATGGAAGCAGCAGTCAAGAAATCAAAAGACACATTGCATTGGGCAAATCTTTGCTAAAGCAAAGATGTCACCTTGAGGACTAAGGTGCCCCTGACCCAAGCCATAGTGTTTTCAATCGCCTCATATGCATGCAAAAGCTGGATGATGAATAAAGAAGCCTGAAGAAGAATTGATGCCTTTGAATTATGGTGTTGGCAAAAAATATTGAATATACCATGGACTGCCAAAAGAATGAACAAATCTGTCTTGGAAGAAGTACAACCAGAAGCAAGGATGGCGAAACTACATCTTATATACTTTGAACATGTTATCAGGAGGGATCAGTCCCTAGAGAAGGACATCATGCCTCGTAAAGTACAGGGTCAGCGAGAAAGAGGAAGACGCTCAAGGAGATGGATTGACACAGTGGCTGCAACAATGAGCTCAAGCATAACAGTGATTGTGAAGATGGTGCAGGACCAGGCAGTGTTTTGTTCTGTTGTGCATAGGGTCACTATGAGTTGGAACCGACTTGACAATGCCTAACAACAACAGCAAGGTCTAATAGACATTGAAGAAGTTGAAACTGAAAACAGAGTGCATCATGGGGGTAATTTCTTTTGAGGGACAAGGGAGAGTAGAGACAGGAAGGGAGATAAGAAGGTGTTAAACACACCACTTGCCAATTTTTTAGTTTCTTCTAGGGCCCCAGTGACAGCTGATGTACCAATGAAAAATACCCTTGTGCCTCTTTAGGCTGGGTGAACTGATTCATCACATGCCTGCTCCACTTTACTAAAGCCAAATTCATAATTTCAGGAGGATTTGAAAGGCTGAAAGCTGTAGCCTTGTCCAGTTCAGTTTCACCAGATTGTTGGTCAAATATTTTCTGGTTTAACCTTGATCCCTAACCTTCTTGGAAGAAGAGGTATAGTAAGAAAGGAAGGAAAGGAGGTAAAGGAAAGATGAACATTAAGCGATGCCTCATAATTGATTGCTCACATTGGCTAAGCATAAACCAAACACCTATTTTCCTGTGAACGTCTTCTCAACCTCCCACTTGCTGTTTTGAATATTTTGTAATCACAGATATTACTTTTCATGGAGACCCCCAAAAATTTCCCTAGGAATTTGAGGGACTTGCTGTATAGCATGTTGATTAGCCTTGACAAGAAATATTAAAAACTAAATAATGAGAATTCCGACACAGAGTCACCCTATAGAACAGAGTAGAACTGCCTCATAGGGTTCCCAAGGAACAGCTGGTGGATTTGAATTGCTGACCTTTTGGTTAGCAGTCAAGCTCTTTAACCACTCTTTAACCACTGCACCAGCACCAGACTATAGGGTTTCTATGAGTTGGAATTGAATCAACAGCAACAGATTTGGTTTTTTTTTTTTTTTTTTTGGTTTAATGGGAATTAGGAGATGTACCATTGGCCCTAATGTTAATCTTATTTCTAGTGCAGTTGCTCATGGTATTAAACGGAGTCAGAAGATCTCAGATTGAGTCAGAAATGTCTGCTTGGCTTCTGACCGGCATGATGAGGAGCAGATGTTTTACCTCCTGTTATGGATTGAATTGTGTCCCACCAAAATGTTTGTCACCTTGGCTAGGCCATGATTCCCAGTATTGTGTGGTTGTCCACCATTTTGTGATCTAATGTGATTATACTTCGTGTCGTAAATCCTAAACTCTATGATGTTAATGAAGCAGGATTAGAGACAGTTATGCTAATGAGGCAGGCCTCAATCTACAAGATTAGATTGTATCTTGAGTCAATCTCTTTTGAGATATAAAAGAGAGAATCAAGTAGAGGAGAGAGACCTCACACCGCCAAGAAAGAATAACCCCTAGTGGAGTAGGTCCTTTGGACTTGGGGACCCTGTGCCAAAAAAAACCTCCTAGACCAGGGGAAGATTGATGACAAGGACTTTCTCCTAGAACCAACAGAGGGAGAAAGCCTTCCCCTGGAGCTGATGGCTTGAATTCCTACTTCTAGCCTCCTAGATTGTGAGAGAATGAATTTCTGTTTGTTAAAGCCATCCACCTGTGGTATTTCTGTTATGGCAGCACTAGATAACTAAGACACCTCAGTATGCCTCCATTTTCTCATCTGTAAAATGGAATGATAATACTTTGCTGGGTAATTTTGAAAACATGTGAAAACCATTTCAATTGGTACATATAACAATGGAAGGTAGCCAGTTCCTTTAATAAGTCAGCATAGTAGAGCAAAGAATCTGTACCAGCTCCTAGTTCTTTTCCTTACTAGCTCTGTGGCCTTGAAAAATTCAGTTGGGTTCCAAGTTTTGGTTTCTTCATTTGTAAAACAACTATGATAATAATCCCTGTGTCATATACTTTTTATGAAGATAAAATGACATGCTTATTAAAGTATAAAGAATGTATTAATGATTGTAGTTCTTAATAATGCCTCAGAATGGAATAATGAGATATTGGCAAAAGATAGTCTCAAGGGCAAACACTTGTGAATTGAATTTTTTCTTATTATAAAAGTATTAATATAATTTAAAATTAGTAAGTCTATGCTAGATCCTTCTAAAAATATTTGCATAGAGAATCTGTTTTGATTTCTATGACAGAGTCAAATTGAAACAAGACACAGTCACTTCAAAAATAAAACATTGAATTCAATTACATATCAAAAAGAAGTGAATACTTCCTTAAAGCAATCAGAGCGCTTTTTGTAGATCTTATTTTTCAGTGGAAACTTTTAGAAAGCAAAAATGTTGTAGTCTATTTTATTCATAATTTATCAATAGTCTTTGAATTGACAGATATATGGGTCATATACATAGGAACATGGTTATAATAAAAAGGTCTGATTAAGTAAATATGACTTGGCTGTACATTGAGATAGCTGGCATTCAAAAGAGCTTTTTTTTTGCATTTTTAAAAAATAAAAAATTCTACATTTATCCTGGTTAAAGTCTAATATTCTTTAATCTTATATTTTCTTGCAAGATAATAGTTGGAGAAACTGCTGTGTTTTGCCTACAACTAGCCACAAGAGATTTTGAAAACCAGGAAAAAACTATTTTAACTGGAGACTGTTGCTATATAAATCCACTGGTGCGCCGAACGGTCCGATTTCTTGGTATGTGTTCATTAAATTGTTATTATTGTTGAAAAAATGTTTATGTATAAGCTAACCTTTATAATGACCAGTGTTTTAAGTATATGCCAATATTAGATTTCCTTTCCTTTGAAATGGTTCAATTTGGTTTCAAAAATAAGCATTACATACTACTTCCTCTTTGATACTGTAACACCACACTAAGGATGTCATTTCCACATTATTTTAAGGAAAAAAGATCACTGCACTTGGATATTTAATATTCTTTTAAAAACTAAAAATTGCCATAATTAAAAGAAAGTACTTACTGTGTTTATGAAATTTCAGAAGCAATGCTTTAGGGGAAAATGATAATTCCAGGTAAGATGTTGAACATCATGAAGGACAAGAAAAATAGCTTGGCAAATAGAAGAAATGCGATTGAAAATAGCCATATATAGAACTCCATGCACTGCTTCTGAGCTGTTTTTTATGTTGACAAAAAAATGTATTGGTGATTTTATTGGAGGACAAGAGTCACTGATACTTCAACTTTCAAACTCATATTCCAGCACTAATAAATATTGGCCATTGCTGAATTATTGGAAATCATCTCAATTCAAAAGAAACTTGACCAAGACAGTTTTTTTCAAACTGACACAAGAAAATTTAATATAAATTTGTGTTCCTGAATTTATCAGATACAAATAAGTATATTCGTACATTATAAATAACATTTGAGATGAATTCTCATCAGCATCTAAGAAACACATTACGAGTATTGTGAGCCTTCGGTATGTTTCTCATATTGATAGAATCAAGACGAGGATCATGGAGATACTATCCATAGATCACCTAATCTATATGTAAACCCGTTAAAGACTAACTAAATGTCATCATATGTTTAGATCTCTCTGAAGCTTAAAGGTTTTCTCATCCAAAGATAAGACCATCAAGTTATATGTCTCCAAAGCCCTTATCTATCCTGTTTGAAAAGATAACTTTTATATGAAACTTAAGTCATTTTTTCACATGTACCAATACTATGTCCTTGACTCATTTCTCTTTGCACTCACCCATTGCCCTCAAATTGATTCCGACTTATAGCAACTGTATAAGACAGAGTAGAACTGCCCCATAAGATTTCCAAGGCTGTGATCTTCATGGAAGCAGACTGCCACATCTTTCTCCCACACAGCGGCTGGTGGCTTCGAACTGCCGACCTTCCAGTTAGCAGCCAGGCAGTTAACCACTGTGCTACCAGGGCTCCTTCTCTTTGCACTAAAGTCATTTAACTATAAAATAAACATTAATATACTAAGAACGAATGGTATGTTATTAAACTGAAGCTTTCCTAAATTCTGTTAAACAAATTATGTCTATTTAAAATATTTTTCTGCATTTGCGTTCATATTTCTTCTAAAAAATTTATGGCACAAAACAAAATGTGCTTTTAAGTTGCTGCATGTTTCTTACTTATATGATTCTGTAAAACATTCAGGAGTGCTTGATTTATTTCTTATACCCTTTTTGGGGGGAAGAGCAGCCCTGGTGGCACAGTGGTTAAGAGGTTGGCTACTAACCGAAAGTCAGCAGTTCGAATCCACCAGCCACTCCTTGGAAACCCTGTGGGGCAGTTCTGCTCTATCCTATAAGGTTGCTGTGAGTTGGAACTGACCCAATGGCACACAACAAAATAACAATAACCCTTTTTAAAATCATGGTTTGGGTGTTTCTAGTTTGTTAAAATAAAATGGAAGCTTGTAAGCAAAACATTACTGCATAATAGAGCATCACTTTTCATGGGGATTTTATTCTTGAGGTCAGCAGAGTGGATACACTCATGGGATCTCACTTTAATTTATTATCTTTGTAGTCACCTAAAATATTGGCCTTGAGCCTGATGCGCTGACATTTTAATTCTAAAGCACATTTGGGAAATTTACGAGTATCAAGAGACATTTCAGTATCCTTTTCAGATATTTCGCTCTATTTTAAACAGGAAAACCTATTACACCAGATGAAAAGAACGACTTAGTTAAACACAATGAGTACATCTTAGCCTAGATTTCAAAGGAGTGAAAATGAAGACTTGTAATTTAGGTTCCTGTGTTTGACCATGATATTTTGGAAAGAGAGGTTGTGTACATTGATATTTTAATGAGCTCACTTCTCTTACATTTCTCTGACTCTCCCGAATTTCTGCTTTTGATAACATTTACTTGTATGACTCATGGAATGCTGGTAAAGATGTAAAGAATGGGCTTTTTATTGTTTCCTTTCAGAATTTTTAGATAAAGGTAGAACTAATGTCTGTTTTATGGCCATTTGGGTAGACATAGAGTTTTGGGTGCGGGAACGTTTTAAAATCTTACATAATATTCTGAAAATTTGCAAGGATGGCCATGTAATTAATACTGGAAACTTATCTGATCCTTCACAACTTTGCTGATGATTTCCTATACAACAGTCAATAATGATGTAAAGGCTTAGGAAGAAACCTATCCAGAAACATCTGGCTAAGAAGAAAAATATCTCATTTTTATAATAGAATTATATTTTATTGAATTGCCTGTTTTGGGAAGTATCATTTTGGTTTAGTTTTAAAAGGTCCTGATGGATTTCATTTCACAAAATTATAAGAAAATGAATTTCTTTACATTGGTACCATATCCTTGAAGGTTATTGTCTGTAAGTTTAATTGAAAATGATGCCAAAAAAATTTATTTTGCCTACCGAAGTAGGAAAATAATTTTAGTGATAATGACCAATGACATGTTAAATATAGAAAATGTTCTCAGTATTCCCGTATTTGAATAAATTGGCAAGTTCTTTACAAAGGAGAAAAGAAAATGTTCTTAATTTTATACCTTAAGGTAACCAAACCAAATACATTTTAATACTGTAAAATAATTGAAATTTTGTAATTTTGATTGCCTTATTGTTTTCAGAATTGCTCTAAATTTGATAAATTATGTGAAGGTGGCCAATCCTTAAAAAAAGATAAGGTGAGACTGAATTACTATTATGTAACTTTTAGAAATATGTTTCTGAAGGCAATGTAGGGAGTGATCTGAAATATTCTGGTTCACTTCAGATTTTCCATATTTACATGAGAACTGATAGCCTTGGATTTTACAGCTAATTAGCACCTCCAGCAGAGTTAATATCAGTCTGGATGGACTTAAGAGGCACAAATCAAAAGGGGACAGCTGCTTTGCTTTGTGTTACCTAGAAAAAAATATTTTCAAAAATAGGGAAGAAATAAAAACTGCTAACATTAGTAGAATGTTATAGTAGAACGTTATTAGTAGAATGTTCGCTCTCAGGAAATGTGTTTCCATGTTACAAATGCTTTTCCCAAACACAGTATTAGAATATATTTTCTTCTTTTATATTGTGTTATAAACCTGCCATGCATAAAAATGTAGCCAGTGGTAGACAGCTCAATATGTTAAATAATTTAACACTCCCACTGCTCCAGAAAGCTAAGGAAGGAGCTGGGGAGGAGTGAAATAGAAGCCACCATATGTATGCATGTATGTATGTAGGGAATATTTTATCATTTCTAAAATATTTCCATGTTGTTTATGGTAAACTGAAATACAAAAAATAAAGAGTTAAAATTATTTGTTTTCTTCCTCAGGAATTTATACGTTTGGACTATTTGCTACAGATATCTTTGTCAATGCCGGACAAGTAGTTACAGGAAATCTGGCTCCACATTTTCTTGCCCTGTGTAAGCCCAACTATACAGCACTTGGATGCCAGCAGTATACACAGTTCATCAGTGGTGAAGAGGCCTGTACTGGCAACCCAGATCTCATCATGAGAGCAAGGAAAACATTTCCATCCAAAGAAGCAGCTCTCAGCATCTATGCAGCTATGTATCTGGCAGTAAGTCAGGATTATAAAATTGTCTTGTTCTGTGTTTTTGTTACTTCTTCACATGTAGCAATGATTTTTCCCTACCATCATGACAGTCTCTTATAGTACATTAACAGCTTTCTGTAGGCCATTTAATTTATTTTTAATAATAACTATACTGTGAATAAAATTAAGGCATTTGACTCTCATGAGACTATGTGTGGGTAGTTGGTTGTATTAGAAAATATAGCCATTAGCATTTCCATTTGATACTGTGTTTGTCTTTATATTAAAGAGGATTAAATGGAAACAAATTTGTCCTGTAGCGTTCCCCATGAACTTGTAATAGCACAATTAAGAGAATTACCCACTCTACTCTGTCCTATAGAATCGCTTTGAATTAGAATCGACTTGATGGCAATGGGTTTGTTTGTTTTTCTTAATGGCCTACTCAAGCTCTAATATGCCCTGATGGGGTGGAACAGGGGCCAGTCTTTTTTCTAGAAGGCTCTTTTATTATTGGTAACTACATTGTCATAATTTTTTCAGCCAATAAATCCAAACCAGTTGTCATGGAATCAGTTCCCACTCATGGCGACCCAATATGTTGTAGAGTAGAACTGCACTCATACAGTTTTCAAGACTGGACCTCTTAGAAGTGGAACGCCAGGCCTTTCCTCAGGGCACCTCTGGGTGGGTTTGACCTGCCAATTTTTTGTTTAGTAGTTAAGTGCCACCCAGCAACTCCCAAGAATATAAGGAAGACTATAATTTAGAAATGTAATTTAATTCCATTCTCATAGAACGATCCAAAATGGCCTTCTAAATTACATTTTTCCTATATTCCTGAGTATTTGTCTTAATTTTAGTGGCAAGAGCCAGGCTCGAAGTGCAGCTGTCGTAGAACCTTGAGGTGGAGTGGTCACAGCTGACGCCATTACTGATGTGAGGGATAGAAAGCCAGACTTGGCCGGTAGCCCTTGACCCCAACATTTGTAATCAGCCTTTTTCTCCAATCCCAGGATCCTGCCTTGCAACTATGGAATTGGATTCCAAAAGTATGCCCTGCAGGTTTATCTATAAGCTCCAGTAGGAAGTACAGAGACTTTAAATGGCTTTTTGGGTTCTCTTTTCCAAAGGTACCAATAGCTACTTTGTTCTGATTTCAGCTAATTGGCAAGAGATTTGTAAAAACTCAGAGTCAACTTGAAATCAAATTTGATCATTTCTAATACTTGGAAAAATTCAGGATTTTTTTTACCCTCAAAGAACTATTTGATAATGGAAATATTTCCAATGCAATAATATCAGGTTGTCACTAAAAGCAAAGAAAAAATACAGCAATGTCCTGTGACATCTCTACTTGAGATTGGAAATAAAGATTACCAAAAGAGAAGGAGAGTTTAGGAGGAGAAATATTCCATTTTAGATAACATTTACAATGGCAGAATAATAGCAGAAGACAAAAGAGTATGCACTTTAACGTTTGTAAAGTTCCTAAGCTAAGTAACACTGTTGCTTATTGTCTGGGCTTCTAAAAATTTCGTCAGGAAAATGTTTATAGAGTTAAGGATCAAATGCCTTCCTAATCATTTCCTCTTCCACTGTCTGAACTTTTGTAAAATTTATCTGTCACAGCTCCTTCTTAACCTTCTTACTATGCTCCCCAACTCCGTTCCTCTAATTTTCCTTGATTTCTTTAGCCCATCAGTTTTGCTTTCTTCTTTGTATTCTAAGGTACCCTTAGGCCAGATAGGGAATTTTTTTTAAATTTTTTCCTATTCACTAAGTTGCTAGACTACATGCTTCACCTCGACCAGAATATGAAACACTCAGCCTTAAAATTAAGATTTAAAACTTGAGCGAATCAGAAGTCTCAAAATACTTAACATTGATTGTCATCACATCTAAGTCTGATGTTTATGTTTGTATCTGGATATGCATGGAAATATATCTGCGTATATGTACCTGATCAAGCCAATGACCTGACACAAATTCCAGATTACTTTCTGCCCCAAAGACTTGTTACATGAATACTTAGCATGAGTAGATGATAGCTTTTCCTGTATAACCAAGGTTTGGCAGTCGCAGTGAATGGCGCTTTTATTCTGCCCGAGTACTGTTTTCAAAGGCATTGTTACAAAGGAAGGCATCTCCTTTTATGCAGTGGAAGAATCTTAACACCTTTGGCATACACCTAGTCTGTTAGCCACCTGCAAACATTTGTATTAGCAGTTTCTGCATAATAAGCCATACTGTTCTAACCAAATGTCACTGCGTCAACTCGGACTCATGATGAACCCATGTGTGTCAGAGTAGAACTGTGCTCCATATGGTTTTCAATGACTAATTTTTCAGAAGTAGATTTCCAGGACTTTCTTCTGAAGTTCTTCTAGGTGGACTTGGTCTGCCAACTTTTCAGTTAGCAGTCAAGTATGTTAACTATTTGCACCACCCAGGGACTCCTACTCTATACTAAAGACTTGGAGATGCTGTTACAGTAAAACCTACAAAAGCCAGAATGTGTGTAAGGTGGAAACCTGTCAAAGAAGAAAAACTCAAATATTTTCGACTAAAATGGGCAGTAGAAAAGTGGTAAGGCTGTACCCTATCAAAGGCAGAAAACTGGAAGAACCAGAAAAACAAGGCAGTCCCATCGAGTTCTGGCTCTCACAGATGTCACTGTATTACTACCGCTACTACTGTTAGCAAACATGTACTGAGCATTTACTGAGCAGCAGGCAGTAAGCGCTCCACTTTACTAATTTATTTAATTCTACTTAATAATTAATTCTTATGCATTATTAAATTTATTTTATTATTAATTATTGATAATTAAATAATTAATTGTATTAATTTAATCTTCATAACAACTCTTTGAAGTAGGTGCCAACTGCTGTTATACCCATTTTACAGATGAGAAAACTTAGGAAGTGAAGTGACTTGCTCAGACCCAGAGAATCAGAAATGTGATTGGCTACAATGATTCCAAATGTTCCAAAGAGAGAAAATATGACATCATATTAGCCCTAACATGTGCATGGTGAGCTGGATTCCTTCCTCCGTAATCTCAGCATCCTATGAAAGTTAAAGCCAAGGGTGCAGATGGTAGACTTCTTTAGAGGAAAAACATTTAAGAAACACTCTAACACTCAGAAGTCTTTCATTAAACAGTGGTTCTGACCAACAGTCAGGATTCCTGCTTGTGATTACTTTGATGAGTACCTCTGTCTTGTTAACAATAGATTCTTTTCTCTGCTAACTGCTTTTTCTCTCTTTGCCGACCACCCCTTTGTGTGTGTGTGTGTGTGTGTGTGGGTGTGTGTGTGTGTGTGTGGGTGTGGGTGTGGGTGTGTGGGTGGGTGTGTGGGTGTGTTGGTGTGTGGGTGGGTGGTTGCTATGGCAACTCTGAATATAACTCCTGCTGTAACTGTAGGCTTTACAGTCAAGTTTTGCCGTTATATTTGAACCTATATACAAATATATTTCTTCCCAGCTTCACTAGAGACACCTTGGGAAAACTTTATAAAAGAAATGCTGGAGTTTTTCAGACTAAAGCAGTCACATGAAATGCCTGCAGAATTTTGATGAGTAGGTAGATACAGGAAAACAGCTATATACTCAAAATTCTCGATGGAAATGGGTTTATGGCTGTATATGGCTTATACATACATATATACAGATATATATATAGACAGAGAGAGCGAGAGAGCACCTTGGTGGCACAGTGGTTAAGCACTTGACTGCTAACCTTGAAAACCCTATGGGGCAGTTCTACTCTGTCCTATAGGGTCACTATGAGTTGGAATCGACTCAGTGGCGATGGGTTTATATGTGTGTGTGTGTGTGTATGTATTTTTTTTTTTTTGCTGTAGGGGTTATAAATATATGAAAACACATAAATAGAAGCAAATGAACCCTATTTTGAAGTATGTGAATAAGAATTGAGGCGTACTCTCCTTATGCTTCTCTTTGTGGATTAGTAAATGAAATCAAGGAAATTGAACACTCCCTTAGCATCTCACTGTAATTAAAGCTTTGGGAATAATTTGATCACACAGTTCTCCTTTACTTTACTGAGTACCTTTCAGGGAAAAAAAAAAATCTCTATGCCTATTTTTGCAAATGCTCTTGGTTTCCCAGGAAAAAATTCTGAAGGTTATTTAACCCTCAAACTGTCAAATTTATAATTCAGTGTTAAGTTATATTAGAATAATATCTAAATTTAGCTTTGTGGTATTTCTTTTCATATAAACTAGGTAAAGTATTTTCCAGTTAAAACCAAATGAACTTCAAAATTGACAGTGAGAAATCGTGATTGGTGACTTTCCAGTTAACCTCATAAACCCTTGAACTAGGAAGACATAAAATGATCTCTTTAGATCACTTCCAACTCTGACCTCAGATTTTCTGAAAATACTAAAAAAAAAAAAAAAAAAAAAAAGGAAGAGTGAGCTACATATACTAGCCTCTGTTTCCATTATTTGTTGCTGCACAGCAAACCACCTAAACCTCAAAACATTAATGATATATTATTGTTAGGATTCTGTGGGTTGACTTGTGGTTTTCCTGCTAGTCAAGCCTTGTCTCATGCGTGGGCTGCATCCAGCTAACCAGTCAGTTGGGGGCTGAGATCAGCTGGGACGGCTCAAACAGCTGGGCCTCTCTCACTCCACCAGGTCTTTCTCACAGGTCTTCCCTGGTTGCTGTTTCAGACTAGTACTCCAAGACAGCAACAGCCCAAGCTGCAAGGTTTATTGAGGCCTACTAGGCTCCTAAAGGACCCCTCGTGGCACAGTGGTTAAGAGCTCAGCTGCTAACCAAAAAGTCTGCAGTTTGAATCCACCAGATGCTCCTTGGAAACACTATGGGGTGGTTCTTTTCTGTCCTATAGGGACGCTGTGAGTCGGAATTGACTCTTTTCTGTCCTATAGGGACGCTGTGAGTCGGAATTGACTCAACGGCAACAAGTTTAGTTTTTTTGGTTAGGCTCTGTCTTAGTCATCTAGAGCTGCTGTAACAGAAACACC